TCTCAAACTTGATAAAACAAGTATAAGAATCGAAATCTTTAGGCATCAAAGCATTGATCTCATTTTCCGTCAAACCAAGTAAGTCACAGAATAATGTCAAGAACATTTGCGGCGAAATAAAAATCGAGAACACAAAGCAGCAATAGAGAACACGTCCTCCCTCCTCCCCGACTGATCCTATTGCTGATTATGTGATTCATTTTGTCCAAGAAACCCGCTAAAACATTTTGCGACTAGATCTTGGTGAAATAACTTTTGGTAAAACTCAACGAGTGACTCTGAAAAAACCACCACCGAAGAATCGAAAACTAAGCGGAAAGGTTTCTCGAAAAATCTGCAGAAACATTGTTAACCCAATGCGTCGTGCCGATTTACTAAATTCATCGCCAGTTGCTTACGCGAGAAATCCTTCGTATGGTCAGGATCATGTCATAACGAAGTAACTTTCGAAAGTAAACGTAACAGGTTTTGCGAAAAGTATTTTCCTTATATAGCAAAAGCCAAGCTATACGATCTGGCGCTGAGCGACCAATCTAAACTTTGTTTCCTCGCATCACAATCTGACAGATCTCACTTTTTAGCCCTTCGGTTCACGAGCATCCGCTCTCACTCCTCCGGATTACATCCGAGAATGAGACCGTCCCGCAAATGACTCCGTACGGGCTCCGCACCGAGCTTCTTACGATCTGTCTCCTTCGAGTAAAGAAAGATCGATCGTTTTATAAAACAACTTCCATACAAAGGAAATTTTATACAAAACTTTCATCGTATAAATCAAACCTACAGCGGAAAAACGTTTTCTATAACCATGGGCATACTTGGCATATCAAGCTCGACAAACGCTACTTGGCTATTGTCCGATCACGCTTCACTTCAATGCCAAGTTTACAAACCGACTCGACCTTTTCGATAGCACGAAAGTGTCGTGGTCTAATCCTCTACCAAATACGACCTTGGCTGTGCGGCTGAACACAACTTTCACGCCAAGCCAATACATTCAACGGATAATGCAAACTTGTCGAAAATCAGCTAAATTCTGTATTCTCGCGACTCACTCTATTCCCGAAGCAAGTTGCCTACAAAGTCCGACGTATAAGAAAACACTCGTACCAGAGCTCCTAAAGCCGTACGAATCTCGGAAGGTCAACACTTCACAAAGCACCGTAACGAAAAACGCTTCGTTCGGGGAAACAACTTACACGAACTCTCGGTCCTAATTGCTCTAGCACAAATCATTAAACTACCTAACATCCAAACAGGAATGTAAGTTTTAATTGCGAATATCCGCAAAGTATGGTTAAGAAAAAACCCTCGTGACACCGCGCAACATCTTCGAGCCCGCAAACGTTCCGAACACGAAACGCGGCATATAAAATAAAAACCAATTTTTGGCACTGCGAGACGTCGCAGACGCCCGGAGATTAGTTTTTCGACAAAAATACCTTCCTCAATAAAGTCATTTTCTTGGAAGACATAACAGTCCGTCCGCGACTATAAAATTACGCAAAACTTCTTAACGTACGTATCCTTCGCGAAGGCCAAAACAACGTAAACATTTATCGCCTAAAAAGTTTGTTGCTGATCACAACAAACTCGCAACAGTCCTAAACAAACTTAAGTTATCTCGCAGAGATAGCTCTCGAACACCCGACACAAGGGTAATAGCGCTATAANCTAAACAAACTTAAGTTATCTCGCAGAGATAGCTCTCGAACACCCGACACAAGGGTAATAGCGCTATAAAAGAAATCCAAACTTTTGGTCAGCACTTCCGGGCAACTTAGAAATTGTTCCCGGTGAGATGCTCGGTTCCAACCAGACGAATCATATAAGCCGAGAACCTATCGCGGATTCTAAATCGGTATGGAATCAGATTAAAATCACAACAGGCAAAACGAAAGCCGACTAGTCATCGCATAGCCTCAATCCGAAAGTAAACCTAGGTCTTGCCCTAAACCCAGCACACTGGTCGCTAACGTCTCAAGGCATGAATCGAGATCCTAAAGGCATGTATCTTTGTGTATATCTAAACGCTCACTCGATTTATTAAACATCCTAAAACGAGCAAACGAACAAGGCGATACACTAACGGAAAAAGGAATGCGAGACGACAACTCGCGGACCTCCCTCAATATCAACTCATATTCTTCCCGCTACATTCATACGAATAAAAACACGCTCTTAAAAACGCAAACTGATTTTTAATAAAGCTGCAAAAGTGGCAGGGACTCAGAGCCGCACACGGCCAGTCCAAAAACTATAACGGCCACGCTCGGCCAGACCAAATGGCCTACGAGGCTAGTCTCAAGGCCGCCAAAGGTCCAGATGCCATCGACATCAATATGCTCGATAACTCCTACACGACACATAACTAGACTATAAAGGTCTCACTGCGAAACAGGTCATACGAACCTTAACTCCAAAACGAACTACGAAAGGCTTGATCCCTTCAAAAGGGTACGTAGGCAGCCTTCACAAGGCGCAGCCCTAATCTTAAACGCTTTCTGCTCCCTGGAAACTGGAAAGATCAATTTCAACGGACCTTTCCGACCATTAATTCCGCCTAACTTAACTAAAACTGGTTAACCACTCGCAAGAACCTTACGCAAAAGGCTCAAGATTCTTACGAGCTGGGGGGCTAACTGTTGGGGTCAAAATCAGTACGACGGAATCAACGGCCGAAACTCCCCGCAGAAATATAAAAGGAATCGTTTTATAAAACCCAAAGAATTGTTTTATAAAACTCGAGGATCGTTTTATAAAACTCGAGGATCGTTTTATAAAACTCAAGAATCGTTTTATAAAACCCGAGGATCGTTTTATAAAACTCGAGAATCGTTTTATAAAACTCGAAGAATCGTTTTATAAAACTCGATAATCGTTTTATAAAACTCGAGGATCATTTTAGAAAAATCGAGAAGCCGTTTTATAAAACCCGAAGATTGTTTTATAAAACGCGAGGATCGTTTTATAAAACTCGAGAAGCCGTTTTATAAAACTCGAAGATCGTTTTATAAAACTCGAAGATCGTTTTATAAAACTCGAGAAGCCGTTTTATAAAACTCGAAGATCATTTTATAAAACTCGAGAAGCCGTTTTATAAAACTCGAAGATCGTTTTATAAAACTCGAAGATCGTTTTATAAAACTCGAAGATCGTTTTATAAAACTCGAGAAGCCGTTTTATAAAACTCAAAGATCGATTTATAAAACTTGAGAAGCCGTTTTATAAAACTCGAAGATCGTTTTATAAAACTCGAAGATCGTTTTATAAAACTCGATAAGACGTTTTATAAATCTCAAAGATCATTTTATAAAACACGAGGATTGTTTTATAAAACTCGAGAAGTCGTTTTATAAAACTCGAAGATCGTTTTATAAAACTCAAGAATCGTTTTATAAAACTCGAGAATCGTTTTATAAAACTCGAGAAATCGTTTTACGAAACCGCAAAAAACCGAAACAGCCATAAAACGCGAACTAGTCGCAACTAGTTCACCCACCGTCCTATCGTTCGAGTTTTACGATAAAAACTGTAAAACTTTGTTTTCTCGAAAAGAACTCGAGGAAATCGTATAAAACGGCAACGGTTAAACGAAACACCGAAAATTGCCTAAACTATACGATTTATTCGAGATTTTTCGTAAAAATCGTACAAAACGCATTTTTAATAAAACCCCGGTTAAATCGTAGAAAACGGCAACGACTAATCGAAACATTGCTTAGCTTTACGATTAACTCGAGAAACTTATCTAAAAACGGCATCGTATCAGGAAACGATCTCGTCTAAAGTCGTAAAGCGGATTTATCGCAAAACGGCTCGGAAAGTCATAAAACGCGATAAAAGCCACTCACGACTTTAAACGAAGTCCAACCCAAAGATACGACGACGTTTTGGCGATTTACTCGCAGAAAGAAGATAAATGTCAAACTTGAAGATAAAAGTCAAGTTTGAGGTTAAATAGAAGACTTCCGCGGGAAAAAAATGAAAGATCGAGATAAATGGAAGATTCTCATTAAACTCGAATCTGGGCGAAACGAAAAGACTAAACCGCCTAGGAAGGGAATATATAAGCAAGAGGCATAGGGCAGAAGTAAAGGGACGAAATCCAGAGCTCTCATCTGAGACTTTCACAACTTTTCTAGACTTAGAAGTTTCCGCACTTAGAAACTTAGGCTTTTTCTCGACAAGTTTGGTTTCTATGACTGGCGCTCAATCACTAGACGAACTCGCCCAGGCAGTTCGATCTCTTGTCCAGCTCAATCAACTGAACTACGTTCGACTTGATCCTCGAAAGGGGTACGTAGGCAGCCTTTCATAAGGTTCAGTCCGAAATCAATCAAACCTTTTTTCCTATCTTTTTCGTCTTTTGTTATCGAGCTGCGACTCGACAAGATCCTCTGGGAAATTAGGGTTTTCCTAAATTTCCTTATTTAACGGAAATCAACAAGTGTGAATCTCGGTTCCCATAATAATCATGTTTTTTGGTATAAAATGGAATAAACTGAAAATCGATGGTATATAAATCAAATCAAACTGAAGTACATATAGATTTAGAATAATAGTTATATTTTAATAATCGAAATACCAAAAAATCGAGCCGAACCGAAATCCGATATCCGAATTGAACACCTCTAATCCGAATGAACCGAACTATTGTTTCATTTTTCAAAACATAATAAAAATAATAGTTTCATCCCGCGCAAGACGCGGGTCTTATCCTAGTAAGTCATTACTATGCAAAACCTCAATAAGTAACACTCTCAGTTTCATTGACCGATCTAAGATTTGCAAACATTAAAAGCAATAAGACGAATGCAACTAAAAGAATACCCAAACTCTTAAATTTATTGTATCAAGTCTACAATTTGGCATTCTGCAATAAGAATCCAAGACCCATGAACTGCTTCCAGCTCTTCTCTCTAAGTCTTCAACATCAAATCGTCTTTGTGTCAGAGTTTTCTTCTTGCTTGGCTCAACACTAAACACTAAATCGTTGAAGCTTCACTATCATCATTAGAAATTGGTCACCTACATTGTTCCTCCTGTTTCTACAATCATATCTTGAAGATAACCTTTGTGAGCAAGCTCGAAATATTCCATAATGTAAAACTTTAGTCCATTACAAAGTTTTTGTTCTTCGTATTGGTGAATGAAACTGTTAAGATGCTAGTATTATCAAAGACTGTTGGAACATATATATAGAGAGATAAACGAAGCTAACCTTGCTCAAGCCTACATCTTCCAATAAAAGGTCATCGCCGTGTTCCATGATCATCTATGGAAATCTCTTATGACTCGGTTACATATTATGTGTTTCTTCAGACATGCAATGATCCCTGCAAGAATAGATATAGAGACATTTTGAAACATTGGTGATTTGATCAAAATCACAAACAAAAAGGTAAAAAGAAGCATATTTCTCTTCATCTGTAGGCCCTGAACATAGAACCAACCAATTTATTATGTAATCCGTGTGAACGCTTGGTTTGGACCTAACTGATGTCAGTATTTTTGATACAGGCTGAGAGTGAAGGAGAGTTTGTTGGTGCCAGCTCAGATCTTGAAGAGCTGAGACACCAAGATCTTCCATCTCCATCATTGTCGTTCTACTCTCTCTGATTCTATCTCTAGACTGATCAAGCCTCTCCACAGACATTGCCAATCTCTCTCTTTGATTAGCAGAAACCTGAAAAGAAAAGACTAACTTAAATTCACTCTCATCTACTTCTCTTTGGTGATTTAGTAACAAATAAACTTGAGAAGAAGTTAAGTAATATTTGTAACCTGACAACACCAACAGCGTTGAAATCATCACATGCGATGCATGATAAGAAAGATAACAATGAAATATAACACCATCTGTTATCAGTTTGAATCCTGATCAGCTTTCTGGCAAAGAGAACAATCAAACTCAGTTGGTTGTGATAAATGAAAATCAGATAGGTCAATTTACAGAATTTTGGAATTGTACTTGCTTTCTGGAACATGGTTTTCCAAAAAGATTTGGCTACAGCCTTGCCATGAGCAACATACAATAGAAACATGAAAGGGAAACGAATTCACCTTTTCTTGAGAGTGCCATCCTCAATCAGCTCATTGTTCACTTCCTTAGAATGAGGCTCAACATCATCAGGCATCGCCTTTGGAGCCCTTATTGGTATCATGAAACAGCAATTATCATTATGCAAAATCAACTGAGCAGAGAAAAAAAATAGTTTTGAAATTTACTTATGCAGTTCAGTTATAAAAGAAAACCCCAACAACAAACTCCAGGAATATTTCATGCAAAAGCTAACCTAAAATCAGAGCCTCAAACTTTACCAACATGTTTCACAACTTGAGATCATAACACAAATTTGAAAGAAAGTTTACGATCAGAAACAAAAACCACAAAAATCACTGGTCCAAGACAAGAGCATCGCCAAAGAGCAAGGGAGAGGGTTAAATAACTAGAAACGCTTCTACACTCCTCCTTAAAAATAACAGACTCTATAAGAACATATGCTTATGCATGATTGCATCAAGACATCAGTCATTCAAGAAGTAATAAACTTATGCAAGTAAATAAATGGCTTGTGAACTGAGACTTACAACCTCTTGATGTTCATAAGGGTAAATTTTCACAGAACCAAAAATCAATTCACTTTTTATATCTCAAAATTCAATAAAGAATCTACCTTTCAGTCCGAGCATGTTAAAAAAGCAAACCACCAATGATTCCCAGGCCAAGGATCTCTAGAAAGCTTACTTCCAACAGATAATTACGTTGACCATGAACATGAGACACCCATAAACCAAAATCAAAAACACGTTACCAAGCACCGTCTTAGTACACGGCATGAACCCAAAAGTGTTTTCATAAGCTTCCTCTTTCTCTTCAGCCGATATCACCATATTGATAACCGATCCAGAGCTGAGAATTCCACTGTCGGTTCTTGGGAGATGAGATCCGTTGAAGATAGACGTACGGCAACGAGTTGAGCGTGAACTGAATTGAAAAGGAGAAGGAAGAGGAGAGAGGATGGGATGTATTAACTATAAATGATCTTGGTTTTATATGGTTCAATGTAAGTTGGGTTATTGAGTCTGTAAACCGGATGTAAACCGGTATATGGTTACTATATACGGTAACTTGTAACAGAAAGTTTAATCAAGGGAATCATTTCTGTTTTAAGCTCATCTTCTTCACAGAGTCAAGAGCTCATCTGATATGGTATCAGAGCGGCAAGACTCGAAATCTCGTCCGATCCGTTTCTTTTCTTCTTTCTATTGACCTAAATCAATCGGTGATTCTCTCGATTGATCATTCTTCGAGCGATTTCATTCGGATCTCGTTTTCTTTTCACAGATTTGATCGTAAATGGTGATCGGAAGGAAGGTTGGTCGTCGTGTAGGTCGAGCAACAGCATCGGCTCGTCGATCTTCCGTTCGTGAAACTCCTTCACCAGATCCTGCGTCTCCTTTCGATTTTCCTCCTGATTCTCTCAACAGTATCCATTCTCCCTTCCACCTCACCAATGGCGATAATCCGGGACTTGCGATCACCTCTGAGGTACTTGACGGTTCTAACTACGATAATTGGAAGATTTCTATGAATATTGCTTTAGATGCAAAGAATAAGTTAGCATTCATTGATGGATCGTTAGTTAGACCTCTTGAATCTGATCGGAACTTTAGAATCTGGTCTCGTTGCAACTCCAAGGTGAAGTCTTGGATACTTAATTATGTTTCGAAGCAGATCTATAAGAGTATTCTTCGTTTTAATGATGCGTCTGAAATCTGGAAAGATCTGGAGACTCGTTTCCATATCACTAATATTCCTAGATCGTATCAACTCTCTCAACAAATATGGTCGTTGCAGCAAGGTTCAATGGATCTGGCTACATACTATACTACTCTGAAAACGCTCTGGGATGAACTTGATGGAGCTGCGTGTTCTAAGACATGTCGTAATTGTGATTGCTGCAAATCTATGGGTAAACAGGCTGATCAAGCGAAGGTTATCAAATTCTTAGCTGGTTTGAATGAGTCCTATTCTATTATCCGTAGTCAGATAATCATGAAGAAGAACATCCCTGAGCTTTCTGAGATCTATCATCTCCTGGATCAAGATCACACCCAACAGTCTTTTACTTCGGTTCAGAATGCTACTGCCTTCAATGTCAATGTTTCTGCTAATGATCAGGCATCTCAGATTAATGCTGCAAATTATCATCAGAAGCAGAACAAGCCGATTTGTACTCATTGTGGCTATACAGGACATACGACTGAGACTTGTTACAAGATCCATGGATACCCCATCGATTTTAAACACAAAAACAAGTCTAAGTCTGAGAAGAATCCTTCTTCTGGAAAGCCACAGAACTCTTCTAAACCTGTTACTGCTCAATTGACACTGAACTCTACAGAGATTGGAGGTCAGAGCATTCCTAATGTCATCAACAGTCTCACTAAAGATCAGATTGAAGGGGTTATTGCTTACTTTAACTCACAGCTTCAACCTTCCTCGTCTAGTACTTTCCACACTGGGTCTACTTCTGGGGCTACTATCACTGCTTTACCGGGTATGGCTTGTTCCTCTTCTACTCTGAGATTCATTGGTATTTTGAAAGCTACAGACAGTGTTTTGGTTTCTGATTCCTGGATTGTAGACAGTGGTGCGACTCACCATGTCGTGTGTGATAGGAGTAAATTTGAAACTTTTACGGTTTCTTTAAATGCTTCTGTTACATTACCTACGGGCATGGAAGTTCGTATTGAAGAAGTGGGACGAGTGAGACTCGGTAATTCTTTGATTTTGAACAATGTCTTGTATATACCTAACTTCAGGCTGAACTTGATGAGTGTCAGTCAGGTTACTAAAGAGTTGGGTTATCGGATTATCTTTGATGCTACTTCTTGCATGATACAGGATCATATCAAGGGGTTGATGATTGGACAGGGTGAACAAGTTGCAAATCTATATGTGCTGGATGCAACAAGCTTGGCAGAACCGGTTGATGTGGAGAGCTCAACATTCTGTACCAATGTTATTGTTGATTCTCATTTATGGCACAATAGACTAGGTCATCCATCTGTAGAGAAAACTGCTATTCTCAGTGATGTACTTGGTTTTAATTTCAAGAATAAAACAACTTTTCACTGTGATATCTGTCCTCTTGCCAAACAGAAGCGTTTACGTTACATTTCTCCTAACAATGTCTGTGCTCACGCTTTTGATCTTCTTCATATGGACATATGGGGGCCTTTCTATGTGTGTACATCTGAAGGTTACAGATATTTCCTCACATTGGTGGATGATCATACACGAGTAACGTGGGTTTACTTGCTCCGTAGTAAAGCTGAGGTGCTTCGTGTATTTCCAGAGTTTCTTCAGATGATTGAATTACAGTACAAGGCAACGGTTAAAGGGGTTCGTTCTGATAATGCTCCGGAACTCAAGTTTACTGCTCTGTTTAAGAAGAAAGGTATCTTGGCTTATCATTCTTGTCCAGAAACGCCAGAGCAGAATTCTGTAGTTGAGAGGAAGCACCAACACATTCTCAATGTTGCCAGGGCCTTGATGTTTCAGTCACACTTAACTCTGGATTATTGGGGTGATGCAGTGTTAACGGCTGTATTTCTTATTAATAGGACACCGGCTCCTCTTCTTAAGAACAGGACACCTTATGAGGTACTTATGGCTAAACCTCCAGATTACAGTGGTTTAAAGGTCTTTGGCTGTTTGTCTTATATGTCTACATCGTCCAAGAATAGGCATAAATTTCAACCTCGTGCTAAGCCTTGTATCTTTCTTGGCTATCCCTCCGGTTATAAAGGATACAAGTTGCTTGATTTGGAGTCCAACAAGGTTCATATTTCTCGTAATGTGGTCTTTTATGAAACGATCTTTCCTTTTACCACAGCTCAAGATGTACCTTTGGACAGCTTCTTCTCTAAGGAATCAATGCCTCACTCTGATGTTAGTGAAGTTCCTATCATCACAACTGAATCTCCTCCAACGGTTTGTACTGATCCTGTAGTTGATCGTCCTACTGTTGTTGTGAGTGAAACTTCTGATGATACGAACATGCATCCGAATAGAGAAGCTTCAAAACGTGTTTCTAAGCCACCTGGTTATCTGAATGAATATCTATGTCATGTGACTGATACAGATTTACCTTATCCTCTGGCTGCTTATATTTCTTATGCCAAGCTATCTGAAGGCTATGAATCTTATATATGTGCTCTAGCTCAACATGTGGAACCAGCTTCTTTTGCTCAGGCCAAGCGATTTGATGAGTGGCTTAACGCAATGAATGAGGAGTTACTTGCTTTGGAACGTAATGACACATGGTCTATATGTTCTCTTCCAGATGGTAAACACAAGATCGGTTGCAAATGGGTTTATAAAGTTAAACTTCATGCTGATGGGACTTTGGAGAGATACAAAGCACGCCTTGTTTCTAAGGGTTATACACAGCAAGAGAGAGTGGATTTCATTGACACCTTCTCTCATGTTGCTAAAATGACTATTGTCAAAACTCTCTTATCTGTTTCTGCAGCAAAGAATTGGAGTTTGACTCAGCTTGATATCTCCAATGCATTTCTGAATGGAGATCTAGACGAAGAAATATATATGTCTTTGCCTCCAGGCTACACGCCAAAAGAGGGGGAAACTCTTCCTGTGAATGCGGTTTGCAAGCTCAAGAAATCTCTCTATGGGTTAAAGCAAGCTTCAAGGCAGTGGTTCCTCAAATTCAGTATCACTTTGTTGTCTTTGGGTTTCAAGAAGTCCCATACTGATCATACACTATTCATCAACAATGATGGTGGTAAGTACATTGCGGTTTTGGTTTATGTCGATGACATAATCAT